AGAAGCTACTAGGGGCTCCTGGCCTTACTACTAGTAACAAGAAGCTATTAGCTTATTGTTTCTACTAGCTTCTTGTTACTTCTAGTAAGGCACTTGTTACTAGAAGCGATGCACTTCTTACTAGTAGCTTCCTACCCCCTCCCCCGCGCGCGCGCGCGCGAAAAGGTCCTAGTAGATTCCTTTGCTAGTAATTACAATTCTAATTAAATTCTAAATACTACTAGTAAGGCACTTGTTCCTAGTAGCTTCTTGTTACTACTAGCGATGCACTTGTTACTAGTAGCTTCTTGTTACTACTAGTAAGGCACTTGTTACTAGAAGCGATGCACTTGTTACTAGTAGCTTCTTGTTTGACCTACTTTGTTTTGGAACGGGTCTTTTCGGCACGACCGGCCGTTGATGGAGCGATCACCTCATCGACCTCGAGCGGTGCTGAGACCGAGTCCCAACAAATCGAAGGAAGGAGCCCCAAGTGTACATTACAAATCAAAGGGTCTCAAGTGGCCCAAGAGTTCCAACATGTTCCGACTTGATTCGACCTCGTCACACGAGCTCCACCCGCTCGAAACCTCCCCGAAACATCCCCAAAGATCCCTCAACAAGAATTCTCCATCCGGAACTTCCGGTCGTGCGGGGCGGAGGCCATTGCGCGTGCTGGGAAATGGCCCTCGCTGCGTTCCGGTCACTTCAAAGGATGTGGCACCGCCTCGAGCAAGGCGTTGTACGCATGCACGTCCGGCTCCGCAGCCTCGCACAGGCCGCGCGGGATGAGTAGCGCGGAGGGAAGGACGAAAGACTGGAGGAATGATTTGGAAGGGAGAGTTTGCTTGTTTGGGAGCCATCGCTAGCAGGTTGGAGGCCATCGCTACAGGTAGCAAGGACGCTTCTAGTAGCTAGGGCATTACTACTAGTAACAAGTAACAAGTAAGACTTGGTAGAATTTGAGGTTACAGCAACTTCCAGGTGGATGTGGCAGGATGTGTGCTTGTGGAATTGGTGTCAGTGTCTGGATTCCATCACGGAAGACCCAGTTATCACAGCATCATGACAACCCAACACTCCAGCCAGCCCAACCCTCAGGTAGAGCTCACCTCGTTCAGAAGGCTCAAGGCCATCTCCCAGTGCCCAGCAAGGGCGCTCACTGCAAGATGAAGCATCTGGTGCTGGGTCATAATGGACCGGAGCTGTGGGATAGAGAGCAAGCCAAGTGCGAACTCCCATCGACCAGACTGCTCGCAGGAGCTCAGCAATGCCTACGACGTGGAGGATCGAAAAAAGGAGCTATACCTCGAAAAGATGCACACCAGTCGCTAGGGCCATGTGCCATTTTCTACTCCCAAAGTGTCAGCATTGAAAAAGTAGAAGATCGCAAAGGCGTAGCCCAACCAAAAACACATAATTATGTGTGAACAAGAACAAGCCGGACAAAAAACACATTCCACAGCTTGCTAGACGTCACGTCTACGCTGAAGAGACACCTTCACGTCACGAGTCTTTTGTCGCCTTCGCGGCGGGGTTGGTTTTATCGCTGGAACAACGACGTTCTTTCTAAAGCATGCTTTCCCTTTTGCCCTCTACTTAATTAAGCAATTCAATGAGCACGTTCCTAGCTACTAGTCAGCTTCTAGTAGCTGGATGCCTGGATGCAGGATAGCTCGCACGTGAAACACACCTGTTTTCGACACCTGTTTTCCAGTGGCGCTTTGGTCCGGGGGACGTGTGGCAACTGGTGAAACATGGCGAAACGCATTCAGGTTCATTGAACTTCTCTCCATGGGAGTATGGTTCCGTTATGGAAGGTTCACGGTCCAGATCATCCAATTCGGAAACCTTCGGAAGGTCAAAAGAACTATACATCACATTGATACATCTCTAGACTTATGATGTGAAAGCAATCAGCCTGTGAAGAAATCTTCTATCTCCTCCTCCCCAACCTGCAACCTCCCCAACACAAGTCTCTAGCGCGCTGGGCACCCACAAGTCTCGGGCACCTGGATGTCTGAGATCTGCGTCGGAAGATAATTGGTGTCCTCACAAGTTGGAGGCCATCGCTACATAGTAGCAAGGACGCTACTAGGTTGGAGGCCAATACTACTACAAGAAGCTACTAGATTGGAGGCCATTGCTACTAGGTTCCTTTTGCTAGGTTGGAGGCCATCGCTAGTAGGTTGGAGGCCATTGCTATTGGGTGTCCTCACAGATCTTCAGAACCTCCCGCCAACGCTTCGCTTTCCAACAGATCTGCAGGACGGTACCTGAGGACAGGACCGGCACAGCCTTCAACAACGACCTATATATGTGCTATGGTCCAATGCAGGCTGAATATTTCTAAGATGATTTAGTAACAAGGACGCTACTAGGGGCTCCTGGCATCGCTACTAGGAGCAAGGACGCTACTAGGGGCTCCTGGCCGTACTACTAGGAGCATCCTTACTACTAGCAACAAGAAGCTACGTTCGGGACTCCAATTCATATCTGATTTAGTTGATGTTGAAACATCGGAAGAATTGCAATGGGTCTCTCTGGTTTTCCCTGCAGAGTTGAACACATTGGAACACACAAAATCCAAATCAACTGCTCTTCACCACCTAAACGGACATCAATGGCAAAGCTTCTATTTGCACTTATAGATCCACTCCAAGGTGGGGCCTAATGATGTCCTTTTCTCGCGGAGGGGCTGACGCCTGACGATGCGTGACGATGCGTGACATGCGTTTCACACAGGTTCCAGGCAAGTTTTGGGAGGAAGTTCCCACGTGAAAGGTTGGAGGTTCCATTGTTCAGCCGTTCAGCCTCGAACATGGGACTTCTGGAATGCTCACCTCCAGGTTGCAGGAGGACTCAGGTTTCTGCGGCTAAAGACGTGGGCCGCTTTGGGCGACGCTCAGGTCGACGCTCCAAGTGGCTCAAGCTGTGCTGACTCGGTTCCACTCGCGCCACCTGCATCCGCTGCAGCAACCACACAGCCTTCGACCACTGGCGCCCCTTCTCCGCAGCGCGCAAGGCCACTGTGAAGCTGTGACCATTCAGCCGAAGGTTCGGATCGAAATGCTCAAAGAGCTGCAAGGCCTGGCGGTGTCCAGATCCAAGGACGTGGGTTCGTCAAAACCCCCAACAGGTCCAAGGTCAAAACCCCTAAACACCAACAGATTCATTCCTCGAAGGTCGAAGCCGACCCTGGCCTCCCACCAAGAGTCAGCCCTCTCCGCCGCGCTCACCGTGAGTGCCACAGATTGGCTGGTCGCGCCGATCGTCAATTCACTCATGCGCTGCAGCAGCGCCACAGCGCTTCGCCACTGTGCCGCCTCGTCCGTTGGTCCGTGGGAGACGGGCTTGGAGCGAATCCTCATTCGCTCCAAGCAACGGACCTAACACATGGTGGACAGAGCAACGACGTGGTCTTCAGCCTTCTTCACCAAGGGGTCAGAGCTACTGGAAGGGATTTGTGGACATTTCACTCAAGACCTCGTTCTAGCGATCGACGAACTCTTGGACCCCTCGCTTTTAGTCCGGAAGAGCCAAACTCAGCTGCAAGGTCGGTGCCTTACTAGTAGTAACAAGCTACTAGTAGTAAGGCACTTTGCTGCTAGTAGCTTCTTCTTACTAGTGACGAATGCCCTTGTTACAAGGACTTTGGGCCAACAGTCTCTGTCATCGCCTGGACAAGAACTCTCCAAGTCTCCAAACTATTCCAAACTCATAGGCTCAAAAGTGGTAGTTTCTTGCTTCTAGTAGCTTCTTGTTCCTAGTAGTAAGGCCAGGAGCCCCTAGTAGGGTCCTTGCTCCTAGTACCTCGTAGCGATGCCAGGAGCCCCGAACGTAGCGTCCCTGTAAAAGTGTTCCAAGGGGTGGGGTGTGAGACGCCACCAAATCACATGAGGTCAGCAAACTCCCAACATTCACGGCCCTCCCCACGTGACTGCTCCGCTGAAGAGAGCAGCGAAAGAGCATCTCTGGGTTCTCCCACCTTTTCCATCACCCCCAGCGCTGCCCCAAAGCTACGCTTCGTCTGACCATCAGTCGTGGAGGTGGCAACCTCCTGAGCATCCACGGTCTTTCTCCACATCAGTTTTGGCTCCCCAGACGTTTGAGGCTCATTTCCCATGTAATTGTCCACCCAAACATCAAACATCGCTTGATTGCAACTCGTGTATGGCGGGAGTTTCTATGTCTTGGACCCCTTAAACTGAAGATGACTTCTGCACAGGGTGTGTCTGTTGCTTGCAAACATGAAGGAGCTCGGTCACATCGGTCACCTGCTAACCCCCCCAGTTGTTCAAACAAAAGACATGTCTTCACCTTCCACAGGTCCTTCCAACAGAGGCTCAAAGAGGTCAACCTGGGACCTCCACATTTTTGGGGCTACATCGGGGTCCAACGACAGCGGGGTCTCAACTTCTCTATATCGCTTGAAGCAAACGTGGCAAAGTGGTTCTCGCCTGAACCGGATGCCCCGGAGTACCAGTCAGAGAATTGACCTGACCCATGACCTGGAAGCGGTAGTGACCTGGTAACCGACCGAGCGACCCACGGTTGGCCTCCAACCTAGCTTCCAACAGTCGTGAGAAGCAGGTCTTGAAATGGGTGCGGATATGTGTGGATTAATATTCGAATAGGGAGACTTCCCTGGAGACCCCCCGGTCGGACCACTGGGAAGGCCCAAATACAATTACAAGAACCCATTGGTAGGTCTTCTAGGCCCTAATTACACAGCCCAACATTTCATACTCAATCGACTTCTGACGACTGCAAAGACTACTACAAACTCCAATCCATGAAACGTACAGGCGTGAACCTTTCAAACCCAGGGTTTTTATGGCTAGGAACAAGTGCCTTACTAGTACTAGTAGTAACAAGAAGCTACTAGTAACAAGTGCCACGCTTCTAGGAACAAGTGCATGACTACTATAGTAGCAAATAGCTACTATATAGTAGCTTCTTGCTAATGCCCTTGATACTAGTAGCGATGCACTTGTTACGGATCGGACTTTCTCGTCCCCCGAAAGTAGAAACTCGCTCTTCGGTGGTGACCGCACCCCTCCGCACGGCACCTCGAGTCGCTTCAGAAGCTCGAGGGCCTCGGTCCACTGCTGGCAAGCATTCAAAGCCACGCTGTAGGTGATGTGATCTGGTCGTAATGCCTCCGCGACAGAAGCGACGCGACGCGACCTACGGTGGAGGCCATCGGAGGTCGGAAGGGGGTGCACGGTGCACGGTGACGCGCGCAACTTCTGGCATGATATGGCAAGAAAGGTAAGTTCTTTTGGGGGTTTGGGCAACCCACCAGAGGCCTAATGGGAACTGTTGTTTCGACCAATCATCTGCCACAACACCAAGGGTACCCACGGGCCACGGTCGCAACCGCTAGGGCCCGGTAGGGTCCGGTGGTTGGCGATCCTGGATTGGTCCAATGGGGCGGACAAGTCACGGAGGTCTGGCTTTTCGTCCCTCCTCGAGGAATCAGAACCCGCAAGAAGTTCTTCCACAACTTGACTTCGATCAAAACAACATCTTGAGCAATCCTTCTGTGTCTAGGTCCAGGTGCCTCGCCAAATAGGCTGGACAAAAATACCAACACTCTGGACAGATCTCATTCCAATCAATTGGTTCAGCTATGAAAAGTGCAGCTCTATCGACCACCTCAGGTTTTTCCGTCGTCGCTCAACCGCTTCTTCCTTGCGGTCGTCTGCGTTTGTTATGGCACTGTGGCCGGATGAATGAAGCTGTTGAGTGATCATCGTAGTCAAAGGGCGGGAAACGAGGCAGAATCTCGTTGGGTCAAACTATGTCAAACTGATGGTCTTCTCATTTTCCAAATCCCCAACCTGCCCCCCACCCACCTTTCCCGCCATTCTTCAGGCCTTCTCCTGCAGCTCTTCGTAAAGGCGAAGCGCCAAGCTCCACTGATGCCCTTTCTCGCAAGCACTCATGCTGGTGTTATAGCTGATGATGTCTGCCTTCGCTCACATCCGGTGGAAGTGCTTTCACCGAGTTTCGGGGCACCGTGGGCGGCGGGAGGGTCCACAAACGTCCCATCTCAGGTTGTGGCATCGCTACGAACGGAGCAAGGACGCTAGGGACAAGTTCTTTTCCAACCTTCGCACCCAAAGAGGAAGTGTCTGAGATCTGGGGGACAGCATGCTATATAGCATGGAGGGTTGCAGCTGCTTCTGCCAAGCATCTTCGTTTTGGAGAGGGTGTACCTTTGTACTTTTCCAGTGTTCACCAAGCACAGATGATCCAAAGGAGCCTTCACCAAACTGCATCCCACACTGGTCCCCACAGGGCCTTTGGGAAAGCTCTTTCCTTTGCAGCCTGAAATTGCACGCAGCTGCAACTGTTGGAAAAACACAGATGAAACAGGTATCCCGTCACGTCCCTGCGGATTGATTCACAACGCTTGCACAGGATTGACTATCATCTGTCCTGCAACAAACATATCAGCTCATATCCGAAAAGAGCAACAGGAAGAGCTCTGAAAAATGACAGGTGCAAGTTGGATCTGTCAAAGGTGAGATATGGTCCAAAGGACCTTTCCAGATGGCATGGAATTAGTACTAGTTATATATAACATACTCCTTAAGTCATGGCAAAGCCAACTTTCCCATCTAAAGTACGGGCCTGTTTTGCTTCCCTTGATCCTGTGATTCGAGATACAAATCGACTGCAAAACAACACCTCTTATGACCGCATCTTTTGGGTTCGGCGAATCCCCTCGAGGAAAAGTCTGGCATTCGATTGCTTTGATCCTCTGTGCAAAAGCTGCCCTTCCAATGTCAGAGGGCAGAAAACATATCGGCATTCTCAAGGAGAAGATACAAACCCCTCCAAACATAATTATATACCCCAAATCCTTTGAGCATCGCATCATCCCGCTCATCACAGGTGTTACTACACAAATTAGGTCAAACCGCATCGGTTTCACTTTTTCTCAAAAAGTTCAGGGTACCTCACAACAGCTCGCAGCCATCCGAGTAGTTTCTCCAACAACTCGGACGTTTCTGATCCAAATGTGCAAAATAGAAAGGCGAGGTCGTGAGGTTGGTGGGCTTGCCCCTTGGGTGTGTACGACTGCTTGTGATCCGCAGTCTCTTCGACACGCCGTTTGCTCGTTGTCCACATTTCCCAGGCCTGTTCAGCGATGGCCTGCGAGGAAGGAGGCATGTCAGGGACGAAGGTCATCTGTTTGGAATATGACCCACAATACCAAGAAACATGGGCAAGCAACCAAGCAGTACTTGCTTGACTTGCACTCTTTTTTTGAAGTGCGAGTTGAGCTCTGGGTGCATGTGGAACCCCAAGAACTTGTAGGGAATCTTCAGGTCGATGTCTGAGATGCTGGCCATGTTGTATCAAACCATGAAAGGCACATCTGTCAGGACAGGTGTGTCGAGGGCAAACGAGAACAGCAAACAGCGGGAAAGTAAAACAATCCTGACGAACAGCATGGAACGGTGACTTGTGAGGGACCACTCATCAGAAACACTGCCCAAACCATCCGTCGCGCTCACTCCCCTGACGGACTTGGCCCGGACCCTGGCTCAATCAACAGTCCCCTCGGGACGAGGATTTCATTCGTCCATATCCGTCCTCTTCCAAAGATCCATCTTCCAAGGCTTTCAACAAGTGCGCTTCAATCGTGCGCCCAAGATTGAATGGGGCGGAAGGAGAAAACATGCGTCACGATCTTTTGGAGGCTTCGAGAAACTTCCATTAAAGGAGGCAAAGTACTACCGCAATGGAAAGTACCACCGCGTCAACACCCGAAAGATACTGTATCTAAAGATCGCTTATGGCTGAGTGCAAGGAAGTTTCTTGGGGCCCAGTTGTCCAATTGTTCCACCTACACCACGAAAGGAAGGCCCTGGTGTTTCTTGAGCCAAACTCCCGAACAAAATGGAAGAGATCAGTATATGAGTATATCCCCTCTAAAACAGTCGCGACCACCCTGCCCCACCAAGAACACAACTGGTGAAGGCACAGTGGTCATCAAACCACCGAAAAAGACTTGGGTCTTTGAGGGACCTACTCTCCAAACATCCTGTTCAGGCCAGGTCTTGCGGAACACATGGGGCCCTGATCCGATGCCACGCTAAGACCTCCCGGCCAGCCCGGCCGGCCGGTCGCCAGCAGCTGCTCGCCTGCCTCGAGTTCGTCGTTCTTCGCATCGAAGAGGGTCAGGAGGTGAAGAGCGAAGTGCCACTGGGAGGCGCGTTCACAGGCAGAGAGGGTGGCATTGAAGCTGATGACGTCCACATCCTCCCGGTCCCATAACAACTGCAAGGCCTCACACGTGACACGGGAAGTATAGAAACGCGTGCATGGTGGGGATCGGCGGTGGAGCCAGATGTTGGGCAAGATCAAGTTTGATTCGTGACATGCGTCAGGCTGTGGTATCAATTTCTGGATCTTCGGGTTCTGTGCAGAATGTTTGCCTTTTCATCTCAATAGAACATAATAGAACCAGCCAAAAGGGCCGGGACTACATGGATAGCAAGCGACAGGCACGGAGAAAAATTTTCTTCCAGGCATGGGGTATTGTAGGGCGGTTCGAACAATCTACCGTTTTGTACGACTTATAAAAATTGGATGATTCATGGCCCTCAAAACCACTCAAACGCTCAAGTACTTTACTCTCCAAGAACTTCCATTGCGAAAAAACGTCGCTGCTCTTCATCCACGCGAGATGGCACGAGATCGCCTCCGCCCAGCGAGCTGTCTTGGCACAGGCCGTGATGGCCTTGTTGAAGTCATGCCTTTTCAGCTCCTTCAGTCAGATTGCTGCAGGTTGCAGGCCATCGCTAGTAGGTTGCAGGCCATCGCTAGTAGGTTGCAGGCCATCGCTAGTAGGTTGGAGGCCATCGCTAGTAGGTTGGAGGCCATCGCTAGTAGGTTGGAGGCCATCGCTAGTAGGTTGGAGGCCATCGCCAGTAGGTTGGAGGAAGTATCGCTGGTTGGAACCCATCGCCTAGGTTGGGCCATATCGCCAGTAGGTTGGAGCCTATCGCTAGTAGGTTGGAGCCCATTGGCAGTAGGTTGGAGGCCATTCCTAGTAGGTTGGAGGCCACCGCCACTAGGCTCAAAACCATCGCCAGTAGGCTGGAGGCAGTAATGCCCCTTCAGCTCCTTCAGATTGCTCGAGAAGGCGTCTCTCAGCACCCCTGAGGGGTCCGTGTCAGTCATCCGCCGTCAAAGAACGGCCCTCAAATGGCCACGAGTAGCGTCCGAACGCTCCCAGTAGCGATGCCAGTTTCGCCCCGTTCGTAGCGTCCTTGTTCCTAGTAGCGATGCCCTTTGCTCCTAGTAGCGTCCTCTACCCCCCCTCTTTGCCTCGAAAAGGGTTTCGACGACTGTGGAGGTCCGATTTAAGACAGACTGGATTGATCCTCGATGAAACTAACATAAAACCCACCCCCAAAGAGGGGAAATCCTCTTACAAAGCCGAGGCTTGCTATTTTCGTTTGTGACATGATAGCTGCAGTCAAGCAGCTTTTGTTCTCCCAGGTGGCAACAAAGACTGCTGGGTTTTCAACATCTTTGCCCCTCACTAAAATGAACATGTTGAAGCATGCCTTGAAGAAACCTCTTGGGGGGGTCTTGCATTTTGATGCATTAGAAGAGCCTAAGAAGAGCCTATTTTGAACACAAACAAAGAACAACAAGAAGAGCCTAACGGGAGGTCTAAAGGTCGAAAGAAACACCGGTCGCTACTACGCAACGTGTTTAAGGCCCGGCTAAGACTAACAGTACATCTGCAAACATCTGCAACCTGCGGTTTACCGTCCTGGCCTCCATCCGGCCGGACTCTGTATTTTCTTGTTTGCTTGGCTCCCTACGGCCACGCGAATGGGGGAAGGAATCAACACACCCTTAAGCCACGCGAAAGATGCGCTCCTTTTGCCACACATCTCCCCCCGAATCCTTCGAGGCCCATCACTCATTTCTCCAAGTTGCTGAGCGCATCCAGTTCCTGCTCTGGAGATAATTGGCTTACAAGTTCCTCCAGTTTCACCAGCTTTGAAGGAACATCTTGCGACTTCGACTTCCTCAGCTTTCTCTTCTTGTTCAGCTCGCTTGTGGCAGATCGCCTTTGAGCTTCCTTTAAAGCGCCTTGATCCTGCTTTTGGGCGACCGCCTCTGGCTCCTTTTCTGGTCCATGTTCTCGCACTTCCGCTGTTGGTGGATGACCACTTTCTTTCACCAAAGACTCTCCACCGTCACTGAGACCCACTTGCGCTGGACAGCTGCCCGTCCATCTCCCCCAGTGCCGATGCACCAAGCGCCGCCCGAGGGCTCCGCGTGGCGCCATTGGAACATGGCTCCGCGTGGCACCGCGGCAAAGCTCGTTCGTGCGATTCGGACAGGGTCTGGAACCTCATTGCCTCATTGCGATGGGGAATCCAACCTATAGCGATATGGAATTTAACCTTCGGTTGATGTTCGGGAAAGTATGATTCTGCGAGGGTCAAGCGAAGAAGGGGACACGAACTCTGTGGGTGTGGCTCCATAAAACAGAAAAGGTCTGAATAGGTCGAGACAAACAAAAGAAAGGAAGACAATATCTGAAGAAAAACAAAAACAACATGTACAGGCAGTCTGACTGGTCTTTCGTTCAAATGGGTTTCAGCATGCTGTGCACACTGTGTTCTACTCATTTCTGCTTGTGCGCGTACAGCTTGAACCACGTAATACGGTCCAAATAAGGTCGACCGATCATGCATGGAAAAAAAACGGGTGTGTTGGAGCAGGATCGGGAACAGCAATAAATCCCAACTCAGAAAGAAATTGATCTCCAACGATCTTCGGATTTTCAGAGTCTGACATGTGTCTTGAGGGTTCCCAGCGAACTCAGCCGATTTTGAGGGTTCGCTCCGGGGTGATCTCAGTTGAGCCCAGCGAAGCGCTCGAATGAAGTTCAAAAACCGCAAGTCGATGACCCTGATGACCATCCTCTTTTGCTAAAGGTATATTTGTATAGACCATGGACCCCTGCTTCCTATCACTCGCCACTCATCACTTTAAAGGTAAGACCCCAGGTAGCCACGTGTAGCTGTTTGATGACTTGGTTCTCTTGACTCCACTTCTTCGCAACCCCTGGAGGAAGCGATCAATCGATTCCTTGTGTCCCGTCCTGTGTCCCGTGAATTCCTTCCGTCTATGGGAGGGCCATCGCTACTCGGTTGGAGGCCATTTGCTACGAACGGAGCAAGGTTCGCTACGAACGGAACAAAGGGCATCGCTACGGCCGGAGCAATCGGACGCTACGAACGCGGCGCTCCTGGAGCGTTCGGACGCTATATAGGTTTGAGGCCATCGCTACTAGGTCCCTCGCTCAAAGGTCCGCGCCGAAGGTCCGCTTCCGCTGAGCCGCGGTCCCTCGGACTGGGGCACCCGACGAGTCACTTCCGCTTGCACGTGCCGCGCGAGCGCTTGTGCACAGCTCCGCTCTCGAGCTGCCTCGGCGGGTGTCTGGGCTACCAAAACCCAAACATTACTAAAACACATTTAGGAGCTGGAAACCATTCAAACAACAATTAAATCTTGAACCATGATCATGCCGGATGGGCACCGACCACTCGGTGGCCCCACGAGGCTTCGTTCTGCCTCCCCCGTCTCGTGCAGGAGAGCTTCCTTTCGCTCGGCGACTCGGTGCGGCGACGCGAAACGGATCGTCAACGTTCACACCGTCGTCGAGAACATCGAACAGATCGACGTCCTTTCGAACGGTAGAACAGCAAAAACTGCAGATGTTGTTTGGTACAAAAGTGGGAATCTCGACCAACATTGGCGTGTTATGTCAATGTCCACACGATTGGATCATCTATCTCTGCTGCTGGAGGTCTGAAAGGGGCTCGATGTTTTTTGAGACACACCAAAAAGGAGATCCAAAAAACGTCACGAAACACCATTTAATTGGACTCTTCAACTAAGCTAAGGGACCCGCGGACCGTTCGTTTCATCCAAGCAAACCTTTTGCACCGCTCGAAGATCGCCCTTCGGGCGATGCCGACAGAGCCCGCTCCGGGTAGAAACAAGGGGACACGGTGAAAAACATCCGAAAGGCTGGTGTTGTTGTGTGTACTTGGTGTTTGATGTATACTTGTGTGTCCACTTGTGTCCACTTGGTGTCCCATCGAAATCATTTTGGCCTTGTTCTTTTGGAAAATCCCTTTCCCATTGGCTTGTTCGCTCAACACGCTTACGGGCTCAACCGAAGCCCTCGTCTCCCGGTCCCGTGAGGGCTGTTCTTTGGCCCAGCTCTGGCGGCGTAGGGCGAGCTCCTGGAGGCAAGAGGGGCCTAAAGGGTCTGAAGAATGGAAAACATGTGGAAACCAAATGAAACCAATGGGTTGGAGGGCATCACTAGTATAGGTTGGAGGCCATCACTAGTATAGGTTGGAGGCCATCACTAGTATAGGTTGGAGGGCATCACTAGTAGGTTGGAGGCCATCACTAGTATAGGTTGGAGGCCATCACTAGTAGGTTGGAGGCCGTCGCTAGTAGGTTGGAGGCCATCGCTACTAGTAACTAGCGCGGAGGCACTGGTGGAGGCACTAGGTTCCTTTGCTAGCCAAAGAGTTCTGACAGACCTCTGATTTTGAAGACTCGCTTCTTGTTGTCGACATGGCCAAGAAGCCCGCCGCACCTCCTGGTTCCGCTGCGCCTGGCGAGCAGGTGACGTGACCAAACAAAGACTGTGACTGACTTTAAACAAATCGCATGCACATGCTGCAGCATGGACTGCAGCCATATAGATCGACATGCATGGACGTGCAGAAGACACGTGAACGTTTTTCGGTTGACTCTAATCGTCGGCCCTTTTTGTGGAGTGCTTCATGTCATGTTGGCCTCAGCTCACAAAGATCCAGTCATCATGAGACATGCAGGAACTCGTTTGAACCAAAAGGAGACCTACCAGCATCCGAGACCTGGGTGTGGCTGGACCAGCCGCCCCGAGGCGTGGCACTAAGCCCTACAGTACAGATCTCCAGACAGGACCCAGGACGGCTAAAGAGGAGCAGTATCAGGGTACTAAGGCTCCAATACGGCTCGGAGCACGTCTCAGAGTACTCTCAGCTTGGAGGCCATCGCTCTTAGGTCAGCAATTAACGTCTCAGACTCCCTTTTTGGGGCTCCAAGCCTTGCATCCGTCCATGGTGAGTCGTCCGTTCGTCGCGCGGTGAGTCGACCCGTTCCTCGGATCGCCTGATCTTCCACCTCGTTCAAGTCATTCTTCAGGCGATGGGCCAACTGTGCCTGGCGATGGCCCCGTTGGCGTTCTCGGAGTGAGTGGGCGGACTCGAAAAAACGGTGCTTGTGCGATTGCAAGTGGCGAAAACACGTTTCTCTTCTGTGCGTGTGCGAAGAAACGTACACCATCTGCATCAAACATCCCAAATAACCCCTGGAAAAAGTGACACATGACAATCGTTTTGTCTCTGACCTGATGTCTAACCCCTTCGACGCCGGGTCGAAGAAGTGCCGAGAAAGTGCGGAAGCAACTCATTTACCCACACACTCCAAGCACTCCATCCATGCATGGAATATATGAGTTATAGATGTTATTAGCCTTCATTGTAGGTGCTGTGTATCTTTCTTGCCCTGGTAGAGGCCTGGACAATACAGTCTCTCTAGATCTCCCATACATCGAAGTGGCCAGTCATCCGATCGGCTCGATGAACTGAAACGCATTGCTTTCCTTGTTCAAGGTTGTTACGTTCGTAGCTTCTTGTTCCTAGTAGCGATGCCAGGAGCCCCTAGTAGCGTC